ATGAGCTGCCCAGGGGGGACAGGGGCAGCACAGGAGGAGCACTGGGTTTTGCACTCTGCTGCCTGCTGTCTGCCATGAGGACGCTGCCATCCTGCAGGGGATGGATGCCGGGGAAGCCACATTCTCCCCAGCAGCCAGGCTCACTGCAGGAACCACATGCTGGAGATGCCGAGGAAGCCGTGTTCACTGCAAGAAAGGCATTGTGGCACCCGCCGAATAAGCACACAGAATCTGGGAAGGAAAACCCATTCTTTCCATAATCCTTCTACAGAACCCTAACTGACAAAGCTGTGCCACTTGCAAAGGAAGCTGATATGAAGGGTTCAGATCCCTTTTCACAGAGCAGTCAGTGAAGTACGAATTTAGACCTAGAGGCGATACATTGCTAACTGGCTCCCTGCTGAATCACAAAGTGTCTCCACACAGGAGGCAGTTGGTATAGGGGCCAAGATCTTGAGTACTGAAGCCAGAAGACCTGGATTCAAACCCTGCTCCGCTGTCTTCCATCCCAGCTTGGGAACTCTGGGCAAAGTACTTTTCTGTGGGCTTCAGATTATTTTATTTCCCCCAACATGTTTTGCTTTGAAATTTTTAAATCTTTAGAAATTTGAACAATTGATAAAATGAACACCTGTCATGTATTGGTTCTCTGGAAGCAGATGCCAAGATACAGTTTGAATGCAAGGTGTTTCTTAGGGGTCAGCCCTGCAGAAGGAAGGGTGAGGGGTGCAGCTGGCAGCACAGGGCCCAGCTGTGCTGGGCTGAGGCAGCCCCTGCGCCCAGTGGGGAGCCTGGTGCCAGTGGTGCGGTTCAGGAGTCCTGGGCAGGACGGAGGTGGCTGGGCCTCTCCCAGCCCCCGGTGCAGGCTGCCTGGGAAGAGTGTGGCTCTGGTGAGGCTGAGGGCCGCCTGCTGACCACCGTCCCTGCAGCTGGGCGCGTCCTCCCTGGAGGGGGGAGGTTAGTGGCAGATTCAAGGTGCCCAGGACCCAGAGCCACCAGCAAGTAGCATTTTGCTACATTTTCTTCCAACCTCTCTATATCCACTCACTCATTCACATACACGCAATACTTTTGTTATTTTAGGTGAACCATTGGGAAGACATTTTTCCCCCGAATCACCCCTAATACTTCAGCTCGCATCTCCCGAGAGCAAGTACATCCTCCTATGGGGCCACTGTATCATCACTCTCAAAAAATTAATTAACATTGGTGAAATTATATTGCCTAATATATCGTCTAATTAAAATTCACCCAATGTCCCCAAGATATCTCTTAGAACTGTTTTTTTTCTTCTAGCCAGAATCAATCCAAGGTCAAAGCAATCCTATGTCACGTGTTTCTCCTGCCCCCACCCCTCCAGGGTCACACTGCACACACAGCACAGGCTTGATTGTCCTCCGGCTCTGTGACCTCTGCCCTGGGTTTTGGCTCTGTTTTGTTTTTTTGCTCTTCATTCCCCTTCATGCTTTAGTTTGCGTACTTTGTATCTGCAACTTCAGGTTCACTGATTTTTTTTCTCGGCTGTGTCAGACTCCGTGATGAGCCCACTGAAGACAGTTCTCATCTCTGTAACTTCATTTCTCATTTCTGGCATTTCCGTTTGAGTCTTACTTAGCATTTCCATCTCTTTACTTAAATCACCATCTAGCCTTGCGTATTGTCCACCCTTTTCATTAGAGACGTTAGTAAATTAGTTACTACCACTTTACACTCCGTTGCTGAGCTGTCCTACTCCGGTGTCATGTCTAAGATTCATTTGCTAACTGCTTCCCCTCCTGTGCGGCTTCCTTCTTGCCTTTTCACACGCCCTGTGGGCTTTGTTGTTGAAAGCCAGAGACCTTATGTAGGCTGTAGAAACTGAGGCAAGTCATTTTTATGCCAGGAAACGAGCATTCCTTTCTTTTGGCCTTTAAGTAGGTTGACCCCGGCCGGGAGCAAGGCAGGTTCGGGGATGTTTCTGTTGCTACGGTGATGCTCAGGGCGCCGCAGGCCTCACATCCCTCCGGCTCCAGCGGCCTCTGTGCAGGTGGGACCTCCGCGAGGTGCCTCGGATGACGTCCTCCCCACACTCTTGCAACGCTCTGCATGGGGGCGCTGAACGTTTGTGTCCCCCAGAATTCGGATGTTGAAATTCAATCCCACTGCTATGGTGTGAGGAGGGGGGCCTTTGGGAGGTGACCAGCCGCGAGGGTGGAGCTGTCCTGGGGAACTGTGTCCCTATAAGATGAGGCCTAAGCCGGCCAGCTGTCCCCCACCAGGTGCAGATGCCGGAAGTCTGCAGCTGCCCCCGGAGAGGCTCCCCGCCAGCACCCCACTCCCACCTCCAGAGCCGTGAGAACCGAACGCCCCCGTTTGTTTCCAGTCCGGGGCCCTTGGTCGGGCGGCCCAGCTGAGTCACACCCGGCGCACCCCCGGCCGCCCTCCAGCTCACACCTGCCATGCCGGACCGGCAGGAGGCACCCTTTCCCAGTCTCCGCGCGGGGAAGCTGGTCCCTGGGCGTCAGGGCACCTGCGCCTCTGGCCGCAGCTCCGGCCCCTGACATGCCCCTGACCTGACTCTGCGGGGTGGGCTCTTGCTGCCCTTTCCCCAGTTGTGACAGGTTTGCACAAGGGCAGCAAGGGGGACTGTGTGTGTGTCGCTTGGTTAAGGCTCCTGCCTCACGAGCCGAAGTCGCCAGGGGCTTCTGCGCCGCGCAGGCCCCCGCACCCCCACCCGCTGCTGCTTTACTGCCCCAGGCTGCACCCTGAGGCACGCTTTCTTGGGACCCACCAGTGTTTTTTCTGTTTTTTATTTTTTATTACATACAGTAAAATGCACAGATGTCAGTGGATGAATCTGACATTCACTCCCGTGCCCCCTGGGTGGAGAGAGCAGACGTGCTCAGGACTTCCCGTCGCCTGTGCCCCACCCCCACCAGGCCACTCTGTGTCTAGGAGTCTGTATCTGTTTGGGGCTTTTGTCTTTTCAGATTGTACATCCAAGTGAGATGGTATAGTATTTGTCTTTCTCTGGCTTATCTCACTGAGCATACCGCCCCCTGAGTCCGTCCGTGTCATCACGACGGCATGACGTCATCGTGAGTCCTCACTCTCGTGTGTGTGTGTCTGTCTGTCCTCACTCTCCGGTGTGTGGGTGTGGGTGTGGCTGTGGGTGTGCCCTCACTCTCCGGTGCGTGTGTGACGCCGCGGAGGACGGCCGACAGAGCCTGCCACCCGGTGCAGACACCTCTGCGCCCTCGGCCCCAGGGGCTCTGTGCTCTCCCGCCGCCTCCTCCTCTGTCGCCGGTTAACGTCGGTAGGCGAGGGCGCGTGTCCTGTCCCTCCCTGAAGGCATTTCCCTTACCTTAGATTTCAGTTGGGCGGCTGTCCTGCAACCTCAGAACTCTGATAGGTTCCAGAAAAGTGGTGAATCTGCCCATTATCTGGCTTTTTCCTATTGTAATGTTGGGAGCAAAGCTCTTTCCAACTTCTCACCTCCCAGGCGGGAGCCAAACATCTGAAAACTATTGTTTTTTGTGTGACAACTTCACACCCCATGTTTCACATTCTGCTGCTTTACTAAATTGTACTGGTTTCATCAGTGACCCTCTTGGGTTTTCCAAGAACGTTGTCATATAATTCACATGCTTTTACTTCTCCCTTTGGTACATTTCTCAGTTTCCTCCTGCCTTATGTCACTGGTGAACACCCATGGTTGCTATAAGGTGGAGCAAATAAAGCACACAGTGTCCAGTTAAATGTGGACTTCAGATAACAAATATTTCTCCAGTATATCCCATGCCACATTTGGGGAGCGCACATTTAGCTGGGTGTCTGGGATCGTGCTGCGCCTCCGCTGCCCCATCGCAGTCACACAGGCTGTGCAGCCACGGTTTCCCGTATCTCCAGGGCCCGGTCTGCAGGGTCTCCGCCTTGACTCAGATGCTGATGTTAATGCTGATGTACGCATTTTCTACCACGTTAAGAAGTTTCTGCAATTCTGGTTTTACGGTTTTTATGGGCAAAGGATAAGTTTGTTAAGCCTTTTATATAACTTGGAGATAATCCTATAATTGTTTTCCTTAGGTGTATTTATGTAGACAAATTTCCTAATTTTTAGTCATTTTGTATTTCTAGGTCAACTTCAGATAAGTAATCCATTGGTCATGATTGATTGGCTTTAAATGTGCTCCTAGATTCTATTTGCTAAATTTTTTTTGCATAAATATTCATAAATGAAATTGAATTGAATCTTTTATTCATTAGTGTTATCTTTGCTTCGTAAGATTTTGAAATTTCCTTCTTTTTCTGTATTTTAGAATATTAGAATTACCTGGACTTTGAAAAATTCCTTATGAGATTATCTGGTCCAGTACTTCTTCATGGACTACATCTTTGATAAATTTCTCTCTTTATGGAAACTGGATTAATATGGTGTTCAAGTCCAATGGGGTCGATTTTGATAAACTGCATATTCCTAGGAAATGATATATTTCATCTGCATTTAAGGTTTTAGTTGCATAAAGTTGTGCAAAGTTAGCATTTATGGTTTTACTTTAATATCCTGTGTTTTAAGAGCTATTTTCCCCTTGACATTTATTTTGTGTATTTGTGTTTTTCCTACTTTTTCCTTGATGAGGTTAGATAGCAGTTTATGTATGTCCTTGCTTTATATAAAATGATTTGTGTTTTGATATCTGTTTATTTCTCCTTTAATTTTCATTATTTTCTTTCTTGTACTTTCCTTCCTTTTATTAGCAGATTTTTCTCTTTTCTAGCTTTTTGAATTAGGTCTCTAATTTTTTCATTCTCAAGTATTTACTGTTATTTGTTAAGTATTTGATGTTTTTAATGTTTCCTCTGATCATTTTAATTGTGAAATAAACTGAAATAGTGTTTTCATTCATCATACTTTTAAAGAAATTTTGGAATTAAGATTTCCATTTCTGCTCTAACCCCAGACCTATTTGTTAAAGATATTTTTAATTTCCAAGTTGAAGGGCCTATTAAATATTATTAATTCCTTATTTGTTTGCATCTTGCTCAGAGAAAGCTGTTGAATTCCCTTCGTAACAGAGTGGACAATTTTCATGAATGTTCCATGTGTTCCTGAGAAGGTATGTTCCATATTTCAATGTATAAAGTTTGATATATATCTATACATTCTACCTTATTGATTGTAGCTTGCTTTGTTTGAGGTCTTCTAAATTTTCAAATATTTTCCACACATTTGATCCATCTTGGACTATAAATGGCATAAATCAAAAATCTATTATTTACATACTTTTCTCAATTATTACTGAGCTTCTGCTTTGTGAAAGTGGTCGCTGTTCTGTGGCACGTGGGCCTTGGTAACCTACACATACTCATTGTGAGGTTGGAAGTAAATCATTTCATGATTTCCCCCTGAATTCTGCTGTTTGCTGCAGGAATCACAACCCCTCTTCCTCACTGTTTGCATTTATAGGTATAACCTTTGCCTAAACCTTTAGTGTCACCCAACCTAAATCACTTTGTTTTAGGTATGTCACTTGTATGCACCCACAACTGTATTTGCTTTGTATGCCACTCTGACATTTTAAAAGGTGAGTCAGTTCCACTTTCCTTAGTCGATGTGACTACTATCTTTGGCCTCAAACCTGTCACAGTACCATTTACTGTGTGTATGCTGTTTTACATTTACTGTGTTTCTGTGTGATTCGGTTCTTTGTTACTACATTTATTTTTTAGTATATTTTATACTTGAGGTGAAATTCATATAAGATAAAATGAACCAGTTTAAACTGAACAATTGAATGGTATTTCATACATGTAAAATGTTACAACCACTGCCTCTACCTAGTCCCCAAACACGTCATCCCCTAAAAGGAAAGCTTGTGTCCATGAAACAAGGGCTTCCTATTCTCCCCGCCTCCAGCCCCAGGGAACCACCACTCTACATTCTGTCTCTAAGGATTTGAAATTGCTTTTGTGTGTGTGTGTGTGGCAAAATACGTGTAACATAAAATTTGACATTTTACCCAAGTTTAAGTATATAATTCATAGGCATTAATTCATGGTGTGTAGCCATCACCACTATTGCGGAAACATTTCCACCAACCCAAACACAAACTCTGTACCTATTAAGCAGGTACTTTTCATTCTTCCCTGCCCTGAGCTCCGGGTAAATGCCATTCTACATGCTGTTTCTATGAATTTGCCTATTCGTGATACTTCATATGAGTGGAGTCATGCAATATATGTCCTTTTGTGTCTAATTTATTTCACTTAGTTTAAAGACTTCAGGATTCATCCCAGTTATAGAATGCATCAGAACTGCATTCTTTTTTATGGCTGAATAATATTCCATTGCGTCTTCGCTCCATATTTTATCATTCATCTCTTGATAGACATGATTTTTTCTGCTTTTTGGTAATTGTGAATAAGGCTGGTATGAACAATAAGACTCAAGTATCTGCGTCATTTCCTGTTTTCAATGACTTGGGGTGCATATTGAAGGGTGGAACTGCTGGGTCATATGAGAATTCTATGTTTAAATTTTTGAGGGACCACCAAACTATTTCCATAGCAGCTGTACAATTTCACATTCCCACCAACAAATGAAGGTTCCTCTCCAGAAATTGAGGATTCCAATTTCTCTACATTCTTGCCAACACATGCCATTTACCATGTCTTTTCTTACAGCCATCCTGGGAGTGACAAGGAAAATATTCAACACAGCCATCAAGGTCAGCAAACCACTTTTTTCCTCCAGTTGGCAAAGTCAGCAGAGCACCCCCAGCTCCCTTCTCTCCTCCTTCTCTGGGCTCTCCTGCCCTGCACGTGCCAAAATGCCACACAGCAAAATAATATAAATTGCTCCCCTTGCTTATGCTCTGGGCTCAGACCTTGGGAGGTTACTCCCCTCCCACCGGTGTGAAATAAACCTCAGCACTGCAAGACCTCCGAGTGCCGCTTGGTTCTTCCATCAGTGACCCAGTCCAGGTTTTCCAGTATTTTCTGTAATAGAAGGCGTGACGTGGCATCTCATTGTGATTTTGATTTGCATTTCCCTAATGACTAATAACAGTGAGCATTTGTACTGTGAGATTGGCCATTTGTATACCTTCTTTGGAGAAATAGCTATTCAAATCCTTTGCCCATTTTGTTGTCTCTTTATCATTGAGTTGTAAGAGTTCTTCGTATATTCTGGGTATTAAAATCTTATCAGATACATAATTTGAAAAAAAAATTCTCCCTTTCTGTGAATTGTCTTTTCACTCTCTGGATAGTGTTTATATATTTTTATATTTATGCTGTCTTAAAATTTTATTCTAGTAGTTTTCTTTATAAAAATAAGTCTCCCCCCCCACCCCCCCGACCCTCCGGACCTGTCTCCTTGGCTTACTTGGTATTTTCTATTTGATTTATCAGCTTTAAGTGATTTTTTTTTTCTTCATCACCTATGTGGCAGTTACTAAACTTATTTTACATTTGCTTTTCTTTCTCCCTCCAGCCAGGTTTTTGATCTTGTCTTTTCTTTATCAGAATATATATGTTTTATATTATTCCTCCACCCTTGTCTGAATGCCTGTCTTAATCTGTACATAGAAGTAAATTCAGTGCTCACCAACACATTTTTTGCAAAATTTCCATAGTTACTTCTTGGATGAAGCTCACACTTGAGTAGACTTCTTGGGCAGAGCTTCTGAATTCTGTATTTCTAAAGTTCTTGCATTTTAAAAACTTTTTCAATACCTTTGATATTTGAGGAACAATTTGGCTTAATATAAAATTCCTTGGCTCCCATTTTCTTGAGTTTTTAAAGATACAACTTGACTTTTGTTTTGTATATTGCTGCCAGGAAGTCTGAGGCCAAGGTGGTGTGCTCCTGTGCATGGCCTTTAACCTTGAGAACTAAAGAACCTGCCGTTTTATCTTTAACGTTTCACTTTCTGTCTGATCCCTTTGCCTCTCTGTTATTTCATTTTCATTGTTTTGGCTATATTTTGTCCTCTCCTCAATGCTCAATTGATTATACCTGCAGTCAAACATTTTCCAATGTTTAATCTTAATTTTTGAAATTCTTTTCAATTTCTTTCCTGAGTTTTGACAACTCTTTTTATTTCTTCCTCTTTTTTTTTGAAAGATTTTTGGACTTCCAAATTTCTAGGAACGTCTTGAGATATTTTTCATATCTTCAGTTTTTGGGTAAGGATATCTACGATATTGGAAACTGGCTGAGAGGTGCGTTTTCCCCTGCTCTTTGGGGAAAAGACTCGACAATTTTTACCACATTTTCATGTTCTGCTTTCTTCTTCCATGCATGTATATGAACTGCCATTTCCTATTACTTTGAAATGAATTTTATTTTCCCAGATCAACAATAACAGTTGATTATTTTTTTAATGTCAGGAGTAAGGAGTTCACATGGCTTACTAGGTTTCTTAATGTAAGTTTACCTTCTCAGAGCAGTGAGGTTCGATTTCTGTAATGAAAGGTGCCTTCTGGATGAGGGAGTGTGACTGACGCTGTGACACCCCTTCGTTCCTGTGAGATCCTAGGTTCCTCCCGCTGGCCGCCCCCTTCCCTTCACAGCCAGGTTTCTGCTGCTAGGTTGCCTCCTCCCCAAGAAGCGATGCTTTCCCCAAAACGCTTCCTTTAATTTATTTCGCAGGTACAAAACAAGCATTGCCTTTCCTTTAATTTTCCCCCAAACTTCCTTTAATAGCCATCTCCAAGTCTAGCCGTGTTCCGGTGCTTTCTCCCCGAGTCCCCGTTAGCGGCGCTCCCCCCCGTGGCTCTGAGCTGTTCGCAGCGGTCCTTCAGCCTGGCGGAGTTTTATCCTGGCAGGCCCTCCACTGCCTCTGCTTCTGCGTGGTTTTTCTCTGCTTCTGCGTGGACTCTCTCCGTTTGTTTCTGGCTTTTCTTTTCCTACTTAATGCAATTCAAAGTTTTAGACAAAGGCAGCATGTCTTTAAGAGTAGTTTTACTTGAACTGCTTTGTGCTTTGTATGGCTTTTGTAGGAAGTGTGGATGCATCCTAGATGCTGCCATTACCCCGTGGGAGCCGAGGAGTCTCTGCACCTCACATCCCTTGCCTTAAAACGAGGACGTCCAGAACTTAGCTCTCAGCGTCACCTTCAGGTCCAACGAGGGAATGTGCGTAGAACCCCTGGTCCGTGGCAAGTGTCCCCCCAATTGCCATTGTTGTTACGGTCACGGTTGCTGCTGTCAGTCTGACCCCCACTGCGTTTCCCTCACTGGACGCTTTCACAGGGGCCTGGCATCAAGTCCCAGGGGCGGGGCATCTGTGTCTTAGTTCTGGCCTCCTTGCAGCACCCGCCAGCCCTGCGTTCCTTCCCAGCTCAATGTGAATTTGACAAGCAGCTATTTTCACCACTTCTAGAAATATACTTATTAATATTCGGATGTTTTTCCACTGAGGATAACTGCCTCTTCAGAAGCAACTAGTCCTACAAGCAGACGGTGGAAGTGCATGTGAACGACGGCCGCGCCCCCGCCGCACGTGGCCCTGTGCCCTGTGATGTTTCACAAGCCCCACTCTTCCCAGCGAGCTGCTTCCCCTCCCTCGGCCCCGCACCTTCCCCCGCCCCTCCGGCGCCTCCTCCCTGCCTGGCTCTCTCTCTCTCCATCGTTGCCCTCGCCCCTCTCCTGCGCCCTCCTCCACAAATGGGGGATCGCTGTCCAGGTGTCACTTGAACCAACAGCTTGTGTTCAGAGCATCTCTTCCCGCACATTGGAGGTAATTTATGCCCTGTTGTTGTTCCCACTGCAGTTCCTAAACCATCCGTGCCCCAGGTGCAGACAGGTACAATGTCTGACGCATTCTGGCTGAATGACTCCCTAGGATGGGACACTGGCAAGCAGTTGCCCTGGGACTGCAGACCTTTAATGAGCAAGTTGATTCTTACATCACCCTTCAGGCAATGCCATATACTCTGCTGGGGTGACTGCCGCAGCACAGAAATAAAGTCACCGTTACCATTGCTCGGGAATCCGTGGACATCGTTCCAGCCCCACCTCCTAACTTCAGAACAGGGGCTGTTCTTTGTATCTCTCTTTCCCCAGGACTCAGCAGAGGGGGTTGGCCAGATAGATATCCAGGTTCTAATCCCTGGAACCTGCAGATGTGACTTTCTTCATCAAAAGGGACTTAGCTGATGAGATTAGGTTAAGGATCTGGAAAGGGGGCAATCGTACTTGAATATCTGGGTGGGCCCAGTGCGACCACAGGGACCTGTCTAGGAGGCAGTCAGGAGGTCAGAGAGGAAGCAGATGTGTCCACAGAAACTGAAGCATCGGGGTGACGTGAGGAAGGGCCCACAGCCGAGGAACGCAAGCGGCCTCCAGAAGCCGAAAAGGAAGGAGGCAAACCTCCTCCGAAGCCTCCAGAACTAACTCGTCCTGCCGACGCCCCCGCTTCAGCCCATGGAAACCGACTTGAGACTTCTGGCTCCCTGAACTGCAGGAGAATATGTTTGCGCTGTTTTAAGCCACTAAATTTTTGGAAGTTATTAGAGCAGCAATAAAAAACGACCACAGGCAGTGTTAGTTACCTCTTTACAAAACGTATTTACTCTTCAATCCATCCGAGGTTAGGAACTTGTCAAAGTTCAGAAAGATGGTTACAGACCAGGCATTTATTAGCAGTTGTGTATCAGCTAGTGTTTGAGGCATAACAAATAACCCAGAGCTTTGTGGTTTAAAACAATGGACATTTATTTAGCTGACAGTTCTAGAGATCATAAATTTAAGCTGGGCTCACTTGGGTGGTTTTTCTGATGTGGACCGAGTTCGTCATGCATCTGAGGTCAGTTACTAAGGCATCTGCGGTCGGCCGACTGGGTTGGCATCAGTTGGTGGGGTTTGTCTCTGCTTCACAGGCCCTTTCAGCCCCCACCAGGCCTGCTCAGGAATGTTCTCACAGCAACCAGGCAGAGCAAACTGAAAATACACAAGCTATGCTAAGCCATGTGCTTAGACCTGGTACATCACCTCCACTCTGTTTGACTGGCCAAAGTCAAGCCATGAGATGACTCCAGGTTCAAGAAGGATAAGATTCTTCTTGTTGATGGAGGAGCTGAAAAGCCACATTGGGAGGGATGTTGACACAGGGAGGAAGGGCTGTTTTTTTAGTGTATACCCCGTCATGTAACTTGCATCTTCAAGTGGGTCACTTTTGAGAGTGAAGGGGATCCATTGGAAACCACATCCAGAGACAGACGTAAGTACCAGGTGTTAGGACGCGGAGGCCCACATCTCCTGACTTCTGACCCACAGCTCTGTTTACGTCCCCACACTGTATTACAGTGCTGCTCGTGTGATCCTGGGAGGGAACCACAGAAACGCTCAGCAGACAGACCTCAAATCTGAGTCCAGGCCAAAAACACACAGATGGTAGTCCTGGAGTAAATGCCCTTAAAGGTTTTGTCTTCTCATTTTTCTCTATAACCCAAGTGTTTACTCCCTGAAACCCTTGCACATCTGACGGGTCATCATAGTGTCAGTGTCAATAGGGTTGCTGCCCTGGTTTGGCCCTGGACATCAGCTGTTCAGAATGTGTGTGTGTTTAATGTGAACATAAATACCAAGATAAAATGAAAACAATTTCTAGCATTCCCAAATGGAGCTCTCACATGAGCACATATGCATGAACTCACCTCTGTTACTTTAAACCTTTCATAGATTTCTATTGATCTGCACTGTAGGGAAGCTGACCTCCTTTTCCAATCCTGTGAAGCCTTCCAAAAGCTTACCTCAAAAGCTTGGTTTATAAAAAGCTCTATTTTTCCTTCAAATAATGAAGTATTTTTGAAACAGAGAATTTCTCCACCAACTTTAGAAATTTTTGTATGGTTTGAAGTCATGAGCCGGGATGTTTTGGAATTCACTCAAAACCTAGAAACCCCAAGGTATGTCTGGTGGATTTGTCTTACCTCCCAGCAGGCGGCCATTTAACTGCCGGCTGATTTCTGTGGTTCCACCACATTCACCTTAGCCTTCCTGGGTCACATTTCTAGAAGCACCCACTTCTCCCGTTAATTAGGTCTCTGACTCTCTGCGTGGCTCTGCTGTCCCTCCAGAACTGGGCTCTCCTACCTGTCCAGCCACATCCTTGCAGCTCTGAGACAGGGAGTCCGCCAGCCCGAAAAGCTGATTCTCTTGCCTCCCTGCACGTGCGATGCCTGAGGAGCGTGCCTTATCCCTCCTCTGCTGCTGGAAGGCAGAGGAGGGCGCAGATGACAGTGACAGGGGGGCCACAGGCTGGGATGGGGTGGCACGTGTTCTCACACACAAATGCCTTCTGTCCCCTTTCAGATCATGGGGGCACCTGGGAGGCCACACCCTGCAAAAGGCAGGCCCTCAGCTTTGCCCGACCCACCCTCTCTGATTGTGCCCAGCTGGCCCAAATGCTGCATCGTCCCTTAATGTTACCTATGGTCTCTCACCCCTTGCTCTTGCCAGTCTCTAAGCAGCCTCGTCCCCACCCACAGCTTTTGCACTCCTTAAAAATCATCTATGCACAAAAAGTGCAGCCATAGTGAAGGCGCATGGCAATGAATTCTTGAATCTCTGGTGACCTGAACCTCGCAAACAACTGGCACCCAGATGGACAGATTACTAGATCCCAGGAGTCTCCAATCCCTCACCTACGACAGTAAGTCCTGCCTGATTCCTAATGCCCTGGATTAGTTTCATCCGTTCTCAGACTTTATGATGGGAAACCACACACTGGTGCTCTTCTGTGTCTGGTTTCTTTCTTCAACATCACGTGAGATGCAGCCGTGCTGCCGTCTGTTGCTGGAGATTCTTCGTTCTTTATGCTTTATGACATCCCTTTGTGTACACATACCACAATGTATTTACTCATTTTTTAATTTGGCATTTCTAGCTTGGGATTTCTGTGAACAGTGCTGCTATGAGCACTCTTATACATGTTTTTGGTGGGCATATATGTGCATTTCTGTTGGGCACACGTGAAGGAGCTGGATTTCTGGGCTGTTTGGTCTGGGTGTGGTCAGTGTATAGATTCCCGGGGTGGCTGACCGACTAAGTGACACTCCCAGAGGCAGCGCCCGAGCCTTCCGTTTGCGCCTCACCCTCACTAACCTGGTATTTCTCTATTTTAGCCATTCTGATGGTGTGGAGTGGTGCTTCCTTGTGGTTTAAGTTTAATTTCCGTCCTTTGACTGATGAAGTTGAGAGGATTGAGTTCTGCGAGCCCACACCCCAGTGTCCCCAAGGGTCTGGGGAGGCCGGGAGCCTGCCCTCCCTGTTGGTTTGAGGGCAGCCTCATGGCATGCGGGCAATGGTCAGCCGGCATGGGCGGTGGGGGGACCTATACCCACCTCAGCCCCAGGAGCCTACTGCACATCCGCCCACCACTGAATCTTAAAGCCCTTCCCAGTGGGCCGCCTTCCCTGTGGCAGGGGCAGTCGGCCCACGGGAGACCAGAGGCCATTCCAGAGGGATGCTGGCTACAGGGCAGCTCCTCTCAGGTTTCTTACCCTCCCAGAGAGCTGTGGGGACAAGACAGCACCAACTCCCAACTGAAGCAATTAGAAACGGAGCACCTGCTGCCTCTCTGGAAACACACAAGTTTGCCATCTGACTTTCATCCCTAAGGCTTTCCTGGATATGCCTGCAGATAAGCCTTCCTCATTTTGCAGAGGAAGGCACCCAGCTCGGGGAAATGGCTCCATCTAGTTCTCCCCATAACCTCGGGCAGTGGGTGCTAACCTCAGGGGCAGCTGGCCCACCGCCGCTGGAGCCCTTGCCCAGGGCGCTGTGCTCCTCCTTTGAAAATGGATGAGCAGATTGGACCGTTGTCTTTACAGGAGAGGCTTGAAGTGCTGAGATGGTTCTTGGATAGGCCCCCAAAAAAGGCCCAAAGCAGCTTCCTCTCCCACCTCCTCGCCCCTCCTACCACCACCATCCTTGGGTTGCAAGATGATCGCTCTGGAGGTGACTCTCATATGCATGTCACTTCCTCATCTAGCAGCAGCGGAGCCCCATCCCTGCCTGGCTCCTGGTGGCGTGTTGCCCTACCCCACACGCCCTCCCCTCCTCTCCCGGCTGCTCTGGCTCTGTTCACCTTTCCTGCTTGTAAAGCCATCACAGGTCACTCTTTTTCCTGAATGGCAGCGTGTAACGATTTGGACCAAACAGTTTAGCTTGCACTGCCCTTCTGTCCTGAGTAGACACTCCTCACTTCCTGATGTTTGTCTTTTCTGCAGCCTACAACACAATTATAGGTGCTTTACAAGCTGGCGTGTCACTCACCCAGATCCCTACACAGGTCCCAGGCCAGGTCCTCAACACTCTCTGGGATAATTTCAGTTCTGTTCTCAATCACATGAGTTCAAACAGTTAGCTATTTTAATAATAGCTGTTCCTTTTGATATGATCATTTGTGTGTGTGCATGTCAACATCCCTTCTTAAATAAGGTAGTTTTCTATGGGTATTAGGGAAGGGATGCATCACTGAGAAGGAGGGCATCCACAGAGTTAGATGCCATCTGCATTTTCCCCTTCACCCCTGGCGCATTTCTAATTTCCCCACATTTTTCTGGACATCCTCCTCCATGGTGATGGGTAGACACCCCTAAAGCACAGTAGCTCCTTTGCAGATCTTCAGCTGTTGTATGGGCTCTGGGGAATAGTTAATTCACATAACTGTCAAAATGCATGGTTCTACTGAAAACGTAGTCTTCCCTCACCCTCTAGAACCTTAATCAAAATGCTGGTGCACTTGTGCATGGTTATTCACCATCAGGATAAAGTGCTCATGAGCCACAAATTTGCCAAAATGCAGGCAGAACCAGGGGGAAAGGAACGGTCCAACCACTTACCAGTCCAGCTGCCACAGCGGCTTCTACAGAGCTGGAAGTCGGCCTCTTCATCTCT